TTTCAACCCATTTAATATATCCCTTAAATGACGCATGTTTCCTGGTGCATTAAATGCATTTGCATATTTTTTAAGTAATTATAAACAATGCGCTTAAATGCTATTTATGCTTTTACACTGTTGTCAGTACACTTGCATGGTACAATTGCATGCTTCTATATCCACTTACATGCATTTGAACATTCATTAATGCGCTTGTATGTTGCATTTATATAATGCACTTGTTTGATGTCATGAAGTTCATATAGGACTTAAAAATACGATGATTTAAACATTTGAGTAAATATTATGTTGTTTAAATACACAAAAAAAATTATTATTAAGTTCTAATAATTTGTATCTGGTTGCATGTGTGTGTTGCGGATTCAGTGGAAATTTTGATGAATAAGAGTCATTTTCATATTTCAAAGTCTCCTAACTTTATCCTTATATGATTGTATTTTAGCAAGGTGGGTTATGCTAGTTCATCTTCATCATTGAGTTTAAATTCATAGAGTTCCATAAGGTTTTGAGTGTTCTAGGAGTTCGCGCTACTAAACAAACTTTCAAGTCCGTTGTAAGTACACTGAAAGTTTGCTTGTGTTCAATTTGTTCTCACTTTCTAAATTTTGTAACTTTTTATTTAGTTCATTTTCATTTTTATGTTATTTATGTCCATAAATTATTTTCACTTTGTTTTGTTAGAGTTTCAAGTCAGTATAAATTTTGGCAACATCCTGATATCTACCCAATATGAATGGCTTCTATAGGGAATGTTAGACCTACCCGCCATGCCAAAAAAGACATGTATGGTCAATGTCCTATAACACTGTCTCTAGGATCTTCAAAGCCAATGTGCCAGGAAAGGCACACATGAGGTACCCCCATTAGAGATTTGCAATATAATATGATTGTTTTTCTATTGTGCTAAGAAAAGCGTGCCCAATGTATCGCGAGTACCTCTTATGAGTTTTCCCAAACATGTTAAGAAAAGTACTCACATATTCCGCTTGTTGCATCAAATGCACCATAATTGGAATTTTAGGAGTTACTTAAGTTTGCATTTTTATACTTGCAATGAGATCATCATTGCAACGAGACAACATGATTGCGACGAGTCAAATACAACAAAATTTTATCTTTTTTATTTTCTTTTTCTTCTATTTATTTCTATTTTGTTCTTCTTTTTTTTAGACAGAATAGGAGAGGGACAGAGAGATTTAAAGAGAGAAAACGAGGAGACAATTAGAGAGGGACCATGAGGAAGAAGGTGATAAGATGCCTGGATGGAGGTACTATTAGAGGTCGGCTAAATTACAAATGGGGTGTTGGAGAGCTATAGGTGGCAGTTGGTTTGCCAACAAATAGAAAGATTGAGTGTTGGTGTTTCAAAGTACGAGAGGTGGAGTAGGTAGAGAGAGATTTAAAAAGAAGTTGGAGGTTTTGGACGAGATGAACATTGAATTGGACTTTAGCCAATGTTGGGTGTGGAAGGAAAAGATTTTTGGTTGGTGCTTGAAGAAGAGGGAGCTCGTCAACATTGGACTGATAGGAGAGGGAAGAGGGAGAGGAGAGCATGAAATTTGAAGGTGAATTTAACTTGATAGGAAAGTAAATCGGCAATAATTGGCACTAGAGTTTGGGTTGTCGGCATTAGAGATTGAGGTACAACAACTACAAGAGGTTTGGTTGAGGGGCGTGGTTTGAAAATGCATTAGGTGGTTGGAATTTTCAACGAGTGAAGAAGATCCTCATCGGAGATTAGAAGTTGAGAAGGAGAAAAGGGTTGGCTTGTGTGAGCCTTAGGGCAGTTGATGTGTCACGTGAAGAAGAGGCCAAATGGGCGAGATAGATTCTAGAGATATGCAATAAGGAGAGAGATGTTTAGAGAGAGTGTGGGCCGAAGGAGAAGAACAGTGCATGCAAGGAGAGGACGGGTGAGAGTGGTTTAGATTTTAGGAATTTTTTTTAAAGATGGATGAGACAAGGGTTAGGTATGAGGATGGTTGATGATGCAAGAATTCAAGGAATTGATGAGATATGGGGAATTAATTTTAGGTTTATTTTTAAAAAAATAAACATGCATGTTGACTACTTTTCATAAAAATTTTTTAAACATGTATGAGATATGTTTGGCTACATAAATCTTTTTTCACCATTAGGTCAATATGAAGACAACAAAAATGTTATGAAGAATAATTTTTTCACCAACCAATTATCATCTCTGAAGCCATCCATTCTAAGCCTTTAGGAAATGGAGTGAGATTAGAAATAAAGATGATATGGCAATAATCAAAGAAAAAACTGTTAACTTTTGTGCCCTTGTTAGGAAAAAGATCATAATAGGGGAGAGAAAAAAATGATCTAATTTAGCAAATATCGCTGCTACTTGGTTATTGGACCAAGTGAAAGATATCCTACACATATTGGGCACACTAACATTAAAGAAGTTGATAGCAAAAAAAGAAGACTGAGGTAGTTTGGAACTAATTTTAGCTCAATATTATAAGGTCAGAGTACATTAAACTCACAACATGTATCTATTTGAAGGACAATAGATTATTCCCCAAAAAAAATTTGTCCTCCACTTTAAATGGAGCACAAATTGTAGTAAGAACAAAATAAAAAATGTTAAGCTTCTTTCAAAGAATATAGTAATCGAAAATTTAATGAATTGAAGCACATCTAGAGAGCAACATTTTCAATCACAGATGATACCACCATAATTGTCATAAGCTTTAGGAGAAGTACAACTTTTTATATAATTGTCTCTAAAAGGTCTAATCAAGTTGAAAGAATAATGATCAAATTTTATTTTATTTAATACAAATAACATCCTTGGCTTATGTTAAGAAAGGTAGAGGTATATCTAAAAAGACTTGGTTAGAAAATATCAAAAATTACCTTTCTTCATTAGATTTAAATAAGAATTTGACTCTTAACAAGACAATGGAGAAAAAGGATTCATGTAGTCAACCTAACGTAGTGGGATAGAGGCTTGATGTTGTTGTTGTAATACAAATAATATCCAAAAGTTCCCAAGAAATCACCTCTTGGACCTAATCCACAAATATTCCAAGTTCAAATATTCATAATAATAATAATAATAAGAGTTCAATAGAAAATTGGTTTAGGCAAAGCAAATGAAACAAACAATCAAGGGAATAAATCATCCAGTCTCTCCATACAAACTAGCAACATTGTTGAGAAAATCCGTTATAGGAGGAGATATCATTCCAAAAACAAAATTAGAAAGTAGATCAGTAGATTTGTGCCTGAAAAAGTTCTTTATTTTCTAATGTTACAACTCATGGAATGAATCTTAATTTTCCTTCTTGCCCAGTCCTTACCAATCTTGGGTTTGGAAATCTAAAAAGAAAGCAAAGTACTTAGGAAAATTATTTTTAAAGAAGTCAACAAAGGACAACAAATTTTAATTTTATTTTAGGATTTTTTTCCAAGTAGAATATTATCCGATAATTTAATAAAATCAATAGCCAAAGAAACTAAATGTCCAGTAGACTTTTCTGAGGAAAAAAACTTGATTCATTATGAGTTAACAAGTAAAACAAGAGTGGCGTCAGGGATTCGAGTACCGCCATCTAGCAAAGGGCCCGCATCAGCACTAAGATAGTTATTCTTAAGTGGAGATACAGCAGAGAATCCACTTTGTGGAGTATCTACATTTGCAAGCAAGAAATCCATAAAGCCTGCTGCATTGAATTAGCTTCGAAAGATATCACATTTGAAAATTGAGAGGGATTCATAGATCCAGCAAATATAACAAACATAGGATTCGAGTAAGGAGGTTTGAAATGCTAGGAGCATTCAAAGTATTGATGAAGACATTTAAGTCAGATTTTAAGACGGTTTATGTCCAAAACTAGATGAAATTTGGATGTTGAATTTCCAAAAAAATGCAACTTCAATCTCAGATCTCTAAAAATCCACAACCATGGAGTAAATCTAAAAACTTAATTTTTTATCAGGACTACTAAAAGAAGGGAAAAATATTAACCAAAACAGTCCAAGTGAATTTCTTAGAATGTATTGCTAGATGACTGGGAATGCAAGAAAAGTTTTCAATTTCAGAAAGAACTAAAGCTTCCCAAAAACATTCCTTAGAAAGTGTGCTTATCCATATAAATGAGTCCATCTGAACTTGGATTAATGAACTCAAAAGAAGACCAATTGCAGAAACAGAATGTCAAGCCATGAATGCCGCCGCAAACTTGCAAGTTTACTATAACTAGAACTGTCAATACTCTCATCCCATTTTGTGAGCAAAACAATAAAGACACTGCCCCTGATACAATCATTTAATTTAACAAAAGAACCCCAGTTTCATGAAAGTGATAAAATAATTCAATCTCTGTTCCAATGCCAGATACGCACTTCAAAAAGGTCACTCTTTCTGATTTGGTTGTCAAAGACACCCAAAAAAATAAAATAAAAAATCTTAAAGAGTGACAAGAAACATTATCCTCATTTATAACTTGGAGAGAAGTCATAAGAATGAATTGAGACATCAGTTTTTATAAGAGTAAAAAAATTGGATTTTAATTTATGCCCTACTTTTTTGCATCTACTACAATGGTATTTCTAAAATCTCTAGCAAGGTGCCCTTTTACCAAATATTTGATGAAGGATACCAACGTGCATCACACTTCTATAGCTCTTCCTCAATGTTATAGGGGATGTCCACTCCTTAGGCATTGTGCTTTTGATTCCATGGCAATTACCACAATGCTAAAAAGGCAGTCAAGGCTCCTAGCACCCTTTTAATTCACTTTATTTCATCAGCCCACCTTTAAAATGCTTTAATGGATACACTTAATTTTTTTTATTACACTAGAATATTTAATACCCATCAATTAAGTTCAATATTTAATGTGAATTATCCAGATGCCATTGTCTCGAAGATAGGATTATGTTTGAAAATCAAGACGGCCTTGCCAAAAAACAAAGGAGATGAATAAAGTGTATCATTAAATTAGAACATAGGAAAAAACAAAGCATACCCCACTGCTCAAATCCAGATTCAGTGCAATCATAAACCATCAATTTATTGGTAGTGATTTTCGCTCCCATGCATTGGGATGGTTGGGCTGGAATCCAAGGTTGCTATTAAGGAGTTGGACACACTACTTGAAGTGCGATTTCTGCCTTCTACATCGCCATGATCCTCAGTTTTTTTTGCATCAACCTCAGACCGAGGAATGCATGTAAGCTGTCCTGCACTCAATGAGGATGAAACAGCCATGGGTATGCAAATAGGCTCCCCAGCACTTGAAGAAGATGAAGACTTTGACTCAGTTTTTATGTCATCATCTTCAGCTTTAAAAGTAATTGCATTTGAGGGTATTTCTTCCACATGGCAATCTTTCCCAGCAGCAGAAGAGGCAGTTACCCAGGCGAACTTCAAACTACAACCTTCACAATATTTACCAGCTTGATAAGCCCTTTCAGCAGAAGAGCGCGTATGAAAAGTTACACAAACAACTATTTTTTCTGGGTCTTGTATGTCTGAATTCTCAATCTCCTCTGGGTCTTCAAAAACAACATAAGCAAGATCGCCAAATTTTGAAAAATGGTCCTTCAAAACAGAAACCTGGCAAATAAGCAACCAATTCAGCAAAGAACAAAGCAATTTACCAAAGCACTAACTACAAGTCAAAAAAAGTGTATCATAGATATTTCCTTAATATGAGTATTATGTTACCTTGCAACTGAAGTTTCTCAAAATACTCGAAAAGTTATAATATTAAGATGAGGACAAGGTGATAGTATAACATGCTGCAAATACAATAACTTTCAATCTCTCTCAATGTTTTCCATTCCTGAAACACTCATGCTGGCTCAACAACCTATTCAAGTTTTACTTTTTCACAATGAAAACAAAAAAAAATATTGAACAAGATATTAGCCCCATTTAAAATTTAATAAACATGTTGAACATGATATATATATATATATATATACGATGATATGCAGTCATATATATATATATATATATATAGGCACACATGCAGGGATTGGACTTACTATCTTCAACAACTCATCTCTTCATATTAACAACCTTTCACCTCTTCCCTCAAATAGATATGTGTGTGCTCGCATTAGGACATTCCCCATAAGTGATACGCTAAAACTTAGCCCAATTATGATGAAAAATATTTAAAATTAATTAGTTCTATCAGAAAAATTCCAAAATAGTTCCCAGATTATTTGTGTATAGCCAATTTAGTCCCAAAGTATCATGCTACCCCAATTCAATCTCTAGACTACAAAGAATTGATCTAGAATAGTCCCTCGTGTTGTTATTATGATATAAAATTGATCCCAATTTAGTCCCAAAAGGATCATTTTGGATCAATTTTGTAATAGAGGGACTAAATTTGAGCAACGTTAAACTCTGGGATTAAAATGGCCATATATGAATAGTCGGGGGACTATTTTGAAATTTAACACTTATGTCTATATTTGCAAGCTGACATTTGGAACATTGAATTAGAAGATAAGAATTGGTGGACACAATAAATAGAATAAAAGTAAATATAGCTTCTTCATGGAAAACTATATGGAAAGGAAAAAATGCAAGGGCATCACAGAAAGTTATAAGTTATTGTATGTTAAAAGGTTAAAAATAAAGTGAGATAGGAATAATAATGGATAAAGAGTTGAAAGCTAAATTCATTGAAGTGAATAGGATTAGTGGTATGGTGATTACTACTAAATTAATCATAATTGGGAATATTATAATTTTAGTTAGTTTTTATGAATTAGAAGATAATTTGACAAGCCAAATCTGAGAAAAATTGGATTGAACTATTGCAATGTATACTTGAGGAAGAAATAATAATTATTAGGATAACTTAATTGGATATACATATTTTGCTTGATTGGATATGAGAGATTCATGGTGGGTATGGAATACTACAACAACAACAACATCAAGCCTTTATCCCACTATGTGGGGCCGGCTACATGAATCATATTTCTCCATTGTGTCGTGTTAAAAGTTAAATTCTCATTTAAACCTATAAAGAAAGGTCATTTCTTATATTTTCTAACCAAGTCTTTTTAGGTCTACCTCTACCCTGCTCACCATAAGTCAAATATAATACATTTACATTCCTAACCAGGTCATCGGAAGAGTGTCATTTTAAGAGATAAAAATGAGATGGAAGAAACCATACTTGATTTTACAAAAAATATATAATCAAGAAATAAAAAAGCATCAAGTGTAAGGGTAGAGTATTTCGTAACCTCAAAAATACTAAATTTATTTTATATTGTATTTTTTTTACTTTGCATTACATTTTAACAAATGAAACGACCCCTTAGCTTAGGTTAACTATTTCTTAGAAACTGTAGTAATAATAATTCAAGATAAATCTTTTCTTTCATTCCATCGAAGATTCTTTCATTAGTTTATACTCCCGTTTATTGTATATTTATTCAATGAAGTGCGACAACCTTGTCAAATGTATCATGTTTTTCATCTTGATTCCTTCATTTTGTACATGTTACTATGTCATTCTCATTCACTCAGTACCTAAGGTTCATGCATTAGACATGTAACCCCCATGTAGGGTTCTAGATATTAAAGTAGATCAGGACAGGGTGAATAAATTAAGGTGTTAGTGAAAAGAACTAATTAGAAGGAAATTCCATGTCAGGGGAATTAGCCTTGTTCATACGTTCAAGAAGGGATCTAAATTAAGTAGAGCCATTGAATTATAAACAATCTTATTTTTAATTATAAGGAAAAAAATTGCAAAGTTTGTATGAGCTTATTTTATTGCTTGAAGCTAGATAACATGTTCAGGAAAAAAAGAGAGTTTTTTAAATCCATCATTTTATCGGATTTAATTACAAAATAGCATTGATTTTAATTACCCAAAATCTGAAAACTCTCTCAAAAGTGATCATTTCTTTTTCACACTCAAAAAAGTGAAAAAACGTTGTTATTTTCTAAAACATGCCTTCTATCTACAAGCAACAGAATGAGCCTGAAGATGATTCCAGGAGAAAGCACCTTGCAAAGTTATAAATGCTCTTACAAGAACAAGGAAAACGATCAAATGAAAAGATTCCCCTATGATAAGTTGGTAGAACATTAAAGATGAAAAGTTGTTGATCTTTCAAGAATTTGCTTTTCTTTGAATCAAGTTGTCAGATTTCTAAAACAGGTGGAGATTTCATTTTCACATTCATAGTGAAACAAGAGTTATCATTTTCAAGCAATACAATGAAATGATTCTCTTATGATAAGATGGAAGAACTTTAAAGGAGAGAAGTTGTTAATCTTTCAAGATGAATTTCTAACATACGTGAATTGAAATTATTTAATTCAATCAAACTTAATATAAGTTAAAATAGTTCCATTAAGAATAAGATAGTTATAGAAGTTATAGGAGAGTGGAAACTAGATCATACATTAGCGAAGGGATCTGTCAATGGATGTGAGTATATAAAAGTTTAGTATGCAAAAAAAAAGAAAACTATTCAAGAGTTAAAAAAATGAATACTTGACCAAGAAGTCCCCCAATAAAGGGCTTGCCTAAATCAACAATCCATATCCTTGGCCTAATAAAAGGGGTGCACAAGAAAGAGAATTATCTTAATCCAAGTTTGGAAAAACCACATAAACATTTAAAGACCACACACACACATGGGTAAACTAATCCTACAATGGAGGAAAACAAACTTGGATAGATCTAGACAATCTGGAGATGACTAGACTAAGTTGTACGAAGTTTGCATAAAATAGCACATGATTTGCATGGGAGCACAACATGCAAAGGAGGCCGCATAAGGACCAATACCACATTTCATCTCTCCTCTCTCCCATTTAATTGTCCTCTAAATCAAATAATTACGTATTATTAAATTAAAGAGTAGCCAAACAACCCACTTTCTTTATTATTTTACTAATATTTAACAAATAAAATATTTGACTTTGATAAAAGGAGGATATTAAGGGAGGTAATTAATGATTAACTTTTTCTTAAGTTAGTTCCTTTTACTGATATAATTAGCTATATTTAAATTTCTTCTAAATTCACTTAAAGTTTATAAATAGACTCAATATTGTATTTATGTATCATGGCTATCCTAATGGCATTTTAATAATTATTTTTAAGTTCCTCATAAACTCCCTCCAAACATAAAGCCTGCTATCCCCTCTCTCATCAAGATCACATGGTGTACCACCTAACCCATTCTATCTGATGAGGACATCGAAGATCAACGGCTACGATCGTGTCTTAATTCCAAAGCAAATAAAGTAAAAAAGTGAAGCAAAGCATGAAGAGAAAAAATGAAGCCATCGTTCATTAGAAGGGGAAATTCAAATGGTCAACCATCCCTTAATTTATAAGCTTCCTCTCTCAAAACTACCAAGTTTCTTATCAATATAATGCATGAAAGCATGGCCTTGCTGAAGTGATGAGCCAATGTAGGCAAAGTGAACATTCACTTGTTTTATATATTTTTGTATTTCAAAAAATTGTGATACTTGATGTGATTGCATTGTACACAGCCTTCGACAAATTTGTGTTCTTCATCTTGAATCAACGACAGAATTTTATTTGACAATATGTTTTCCTATTGAACCCTTGTTTAGTTTGAATTAGAAGCTTGCTGAAGCCTAGGCGAGGCTTGATATGATTCAAGATGGAGTTCTTGATTTCGATAATATGCACCTGATGGCTTCTTGCAATGTAGAGTTGATGCATGCAAATTTCAATTTTGTTTTAGTTTTTATTGTAAATTGAATGCTATAGTTTTTTTTTATGCTACCCTATGATGGAAAACATCCAATGATCATGAGTAGGTTGTGCTTTGGGCTTGGCAAACTTTGTGTGTGCTAGCTATTTTGGTGCCTTGGCTCTTGGGCTTCTGGTGGGTTCTCGGTTTGGGCTTGGCTGCTCGATTTTTTGCTGTGTTTTGGGAGCTACAATGCTCCAGCTCATTAATGTTGAGCTGCTGTTTTTTCGGCTCATATCTATTGGTAGTTCATCTCCTTTTTAGCTCATTAAGTGGGGTGGATCTTGTTCTTCCTCTCTCTATGTGGCCCTTCGATTTTCCTCGCCTGGCTCATGTCCCGTGGATGGTTCTTCTCCCCTGGCTTCCTGTTTCGGTTCCCTGTGGGCGTCCGTTCCTGTACCTCTTGGCCTTTCGATTGTTGTTCCTGAACCGCCTGCTGGCCTTCTGTTTCCCCTGTTCTGATTGGTTCGGTTGGAGGTATTTTTGGTTGTTTATCTACCTCTTTTCTCCTATAAATATGTGATGTTTTCTGGCAAGATGAGGTTGTTGTTTGCTGAGCAAAGTTCTCTAAAACCTGAGGGTTTCTTCTTGGGAAAGCTTGTGAGCTGAAAATGAAGAATTAGATGAAGAGGAAGAAGAAAACGAAACTGAACCTGAAAATGAAATCGAGTTGGAAAGGGTTGATGTAGAGGGCGATGAAGGTGATCAACTCTTAGTAATCCGACAAGTCCTAACTGCTAAAATGAAAAATGAGGATAAACGGCTTAGAAGAAATATCTTTCGAACCACTTGCACCGTTGAGGGAAAACTTTGCACGTTAATGATCGATAGTGGGAG